GTAGCCACCTACTTCTTCTCTCCCTCTTTCTGGCACCTACTATCTCATCATCCCTGTATTTATTTGAACGTCATTTACAGGTGTCAATTATAAGCTGTATCTGTCAGAGGCAAAATAGATTTTTGCAACGAAATGGAAATAGATGAGATTTTCCAACGGGATGAGGATGAGGTCGGGTTTTCTGTTTATATTTATTTTTAATTGTATTAAAAGAGGAAAAAATAGGAAAGACAACAACAATAACAAAATAACTAATGAAAATCATAATAATAGCATTTATTTTCTATTTAGCTATATATGTAAATAAATACATGCATATGTTTATATGTGTGTATGTCACGTGTATAGATATTGATTTATTTTCATAATCGAGTATTGCTCTCTTGAAGAAAGCTCAACTAATACGAAGAAGAACGACAACACTGACATTTATATATTGACAAAAGGACTTAAAATAAAAACAAGTGCACCGAGAAGAAGGATTCAATCACAAGGATATGCAGAAGTGATATCACTTGATTAAAAGAAAATTACATTGCATTTTATTAAATAATAATTTCTATTCAATTTTGAGAGAAGGAAATTGGTATTTTTCTGGAATTTTATTTAGATACATTTGAAAATTGAAATTAATAGAAATTCCTGAGATTGAGTGAGAAGGAAATTTAATTTATCGAAACTAGTTTTAGTTTTGTTATTGTATCACAATTGAAATTTAATTTACATTAAATGATACAATGAAAAATACAGTGGAGGGCAAATATATTTAGAGAATGGGAGATTCGTGAAATATTTCGATATTAACATCCTAACACAATAACGCCTAACATCCTAACACAATATAAACCAGTAAGGAAAGTTCAAAAGTCGGACGGGGCCGACTATATGATACCCTTCACCACTATGGGTACATGCAAGACATGTAAATATCTACAATATCCTGTAGATATAGACATTTCGCATACATCAGTCGGGACCTAATTCAGTACTCTGTGCAAAATTTTGCTTCAATCCGACTAATATTGGGAGTTTGGTGCACAATTTACCTTAAATCGGACGAAACTATATATGGGAGCTATATCTAAATCTGAACCGATTTCAACAAAACTACGCATTCATCAATGACCAAATTTAGTACGCGGTACAAAATTTTGTCTCAATCGGATAAATATTGGCAGTATGTTGCTCCATTTACATAAAATCGGACGAAAATATATATAGCATATTTAGATATAAATCTGGACCGATTCCAACAAAATTTCTCATACATCAGTCGGGACCTAATTCAGTACTCTGTGCAAAATATTGCTTTAGTCGGACCACTATCGGGAGTTTTATGCACTATTTACATGAAATCGGACGAAACTATGCCAAATTTCATACAAATCGGATCATAAATGCGATCTGTACTTTGTTAACAAAAATACATGGACGGACGGACATGCATATATCGACTCAGAAAGTGATTCTATGCATATTCACAAAAGGAACCATGGGTCTATCTCGATTATTTTTGCCTGTTACATACATATGCACAACGACACAATACCCTGTACCACAGTGCGGTGAAGGGTATAAGGGGACCACCCCTAAAAGGAGGCGAATATTAAGAATTTTTAGGAGGGAGGTTTGTTACCATATACGATTACAAAAAACCAAATTACAAAAAATTTGGTTGAAAAACGCGTTCAAGAACCCCAAAATACAGAAAATTGGGGGGTACACTTATATGGGGGCTACCCGAAAAAATGCACCTATATTTATTATTTTTAGTGAAGAGATTTGCTACCTAATAAGAACTCGATGTACTAAATTAAAGTCAATTCGGTCGAAAAATACGATGAGAACCCCCAAAATACCAAAAATTTGGGAGTACCGTTATATGGGGACTACCAGAAAAACTGGAACTTTATTTATAATTTTTAGTGGAATAATTTGGTACACAATAAGAACCGAATGTACAAAATTTCAGAGAATATAAAACGAGCCCAAGAACCCCAAAATACCGAAAACTGGGGGTTCCTTTATATGGGGGCTACCCGAAAAAATGGACCATTTAGTACCCAATAAGAACCCAATGTACCAAATTTCAGAGTATTCGGTTGAAAAACGCGCTCAAGAACCCCAAAATACCGAAAATTGGGGGGTACCCTTATATGGAAGCTATGCCTAAACGTGAACCGATTTTCTCCAATTTCAATAGGGTTCTTCCTTGGTCCAATTAAGTGACCTGTGCCAAATTTCATCCAGATCGGATCATAAATGCGACCTGTATTTTGTTAACAAAAATATATGGACGGACGGACAGACGAACATGCATAAATCGACTCAGAATGTGATTCTATGCATATTCTCAAAAGGAACCATGGGTCTATCTCGATTATTTTTGTCTGTTAAAAACATATGCACAAAGACATAATACCCTGTACCACAGTGTGGTGAAGGGTATAAAAATGTATTTAATATTTTTAATTATAAATTTTATATTAATTAAAATATGGTCCTTCCTTTTTTTCCAGGCCTTGGTGTCTATATATCACGCATCGAGGAAAATTCCGTTGCCGAGCGTGCCGGTTTGCGTCCCGGTGATACTATCCTAGAAGTGAATGGTACTCCATTCACTTCAATTAATCACGAGGAAGCGCTAAAAGTAAGTATTCGTATTGTGTTTTAATTTCAATTATCTCCCCTCGGCCCGCCAAGGAGATAATTGCAATTAGAATACGTTGTTTGTTTGATTTTTTAGTAGCAAAATATATATAAATATTTATATGACAAACTTATTCACATTTACACTACAAAGAAACAAACGAACAAAAAAAGAAAAAATACGTTTTTAATTTGTGAAATATTTTTATTTTATTTTGAAATAATACCGAAAAACTTGTACCAAGCTAATAATACAATTACATCAAAATAAGGCAAGGAAGAAGATGAAAATTAAATCTAGAATTGGAAATTGTAGTTTAGAGTCCATTTATTTGTCTGTCCGCTTGTATAACTGAAGTCACTTAGATTGTAGGTGGGCTAGAGTAATGATTATCAGTTCAAAGATGAAAACAAAAATTAATTGCTCCTTCATTTAGGCTAGAATTTTTCAAATATCATTAAAGGTTTCCTACGTACAATTGTTTTAAATTTGATGTAAAATAAATAAATTAAAATAAATTCATTTTGTATTTATGAAACTATTGGGTAATTATTATGTTACAATAGTTTAGGTTTCACACCGTTTACATTTATTATGAATACAAGATTTTCTTAATTATTAGCATACAAATGTATTTAAAGGATTGAAAGGATGATATTTTGACGGAACATCTGCATTTTCAGGATGTCAACAAATTATTTTGACGTTGGTGTGAGGTCAAAACTAAATAGGGAATATAACAAAACATCCCAACTAAATTTCAATATTTTTTGATCAAGTGGTCAGAAGTGTAAATTTTTCACTAGAAATTGTTATATTCACTTTTAATCGATATATGCACTTCGTTCAGGTCGTGAGAAACAATAGTGAAAATAGCCAACTTTTTTCTTGATTAGGCTGTCATCAACTTCTTGTTAACTGTAGAATGTTTCATCTTTGAATGAAGTAGTAGAAACTTCGATAAGTTCGGCCAACTTTTTATACTCTCTACTATGTACTGTACATTCAAAATTTCATAAACAAAGAGTCGAGACCTTTATATGCCGACCATTATTGTCTGCAGGTAGGTTATCCATACTCTGAGAAAGTTAAATACCACATCACAGACACTCAGGATAGGATACTCAGGGGCTAGGTACTCCACCGTACCAAAAATTAAGCGGGACCTTTGTATTGGAGCCAAATATACAGAGGCACTTCTGTAAGAAAATTTAGCTAAAATCTTCAAAATAAAAAACGGCCGCCCCCCCCCTGCGTACGTCCCTGGTGTTACCCATATGCAGTGTTGCCAAAACATTGTCGACAAAAAATGCCAGATTTTGTTTAGAAAAATGCTAGAAAGTGCTAAAAAATTTAAAAAAAAAGTGCTAAAAAGTTTATAGAAGGAACTTCGCTTATAGCTAATAATGAGATATTTATCTTTTAAAAATGCATTATATACACAAGATGGAGTAAGAGTATTTTAAATATTCTTGCAACACCTCGAAATATTCACCTTTTATATTCTTAATCAGAATTTAATTATTCGATGTAGCCGCAATATTAAAGACAGATATTTGAAATTTTGCACATTACTAATAATTCTACCATGTTTGGTATTGTAAATTGGATATATCTGCCCTTTTTAGGGTAGCCCCAAACCGAATTGGTTCTAATTTGATTTTTTGGATTTTCATTGGAAAAAAAATTCCTACTAAAAATTATCAATATGGGTCTTTAATTATTCGGTGTTTTGGTGACTTTAGTCACGTTTATCAACCGAAGTTGCTTCAATTTGATATTTTGGATTCACATTATGCATTCCGTGTTTCGGGGTAGCATCCACGTTACACGTTTTCAGAGGCTGGCACATATGCAGAAAATTTTCAATCTAGTTTAGGGTTTGCTCATAGCACACATATTAAAGTACCCACCTCTCTTAGGGTAGAAAATACTAATGCGGACAATTTTCTATATTTGGACATATACTCCATATAACATTTCCGTTCTATTCGCATACTTTTAAGGGTTTACAACTTTTTTTCCCACCTATGTGTCTGTAATTTAAAAAATATGTGTGCGAAAAATTTTTTGATGTACTCCATCTCTTGTCATAACTCCCATATAAAGTGGGACGCGACCCAATTACGGCTCTATGATGTGACTATAATTTGACATTCTGGAATCCGTTGAATAAAATACATCTTTCCAGAAAGTTTACAATTTAGGTTCATCGGGTTTCTTTACTTGTTCACAGATTTACTGACACTTTCATAATATTGGCAAATCAAACTCATAGCGTAAAACATGAATAAATTTCAATAGGTCTATATGAAATCGAAAATATCCTGAAAAAATAAAAATGCTAAAGAAGATGCTAGGTGCTAGATCAATTTTTTTTGTGGTGCTAAACGAGTTTAAAAAGTGCTAAATCTAGCACTAAAAGTGCTAAATTGGCAACACTGCCCATATGTGAGGACGATAGCAAAACGTGGACCAATATTTATAATTTTTGGTAGGAAGATTTGATCAACCCAAATATAAAATACGAGCCAATTCGAACAACGATATTATAATCCTACGTCATGAACGTATGGTCATCCATATTATTACAACACCAGTAAGGAAATTAGTAAAGTCGGACGGGGCCAATATATGATACCCTTTACCACTTTCGGTATATTCAACAGATGCATCCTAACAAACGTCACATTTTTTAAAGATAATTGTCATGAAATTGTACGAACTTGGGCTCTAATCAATTCAGTACATTGTACCAAATTGTATATCAATCTGCCAAAAATGGTCTTTTTGCTGCACCATTTTCAAAAAATGGGACGAAAATATATAAGAATTACTTAAAATTACTTTCAAATGATCACTGCCCTTACAAGGCAAAATTCAAATAACAAAAATTAATTTCAGCCGAGCACGGCTAGGGCTCGAAACTAGGTCCTCTGAGCAACACTAATGTTGCCAAGACCGCTTAACGTTCTGAGCCATCAACACTTCCAAAAACGGTTGCGCAAAAACATGTGTATACCAGGAAGCAATTGTAGGTGTGTGGATTAATTATCCATCTCTACAACAAAAATCTGCTTTGAAAAGGACTGTTCCTAGAATGAAGACAAATGTCGAACTTTGACAAATTTGAATTTAATTCGCATATGCAAATTTCGTATCAGGCGGAATAAATACAAGTTATCAACGTACGACATTTGTAAAGCCACATAGCCCAATATGCCTGATGAGCCGCTTAACCAACGGCGAAACGCGTCGCATAATGGTGGGTACGTAGGTTCTTCTCCTGGCTTTCCTTTTCATTGCAAAACTTAGATCATCAAGCTCGACTCGAAAGACTATAAATAACCACTTAAAATTACTTTCAAATGATCACTGCCCTTACAAGGCAAAATTCAAATAACAAAAAATAAGAATTATATATAAATCTAAACCGATTTCAACAAAACCTGACACACGTTTTGCTATACTAATGTCAGTACGTTTTGCAAAATTGTGTGCCATTCGGCCAAAAGTCTTTAAAATTCGATAAAAGTATATATGGAGGGCTCTAACTAAATCTGAGCCCATGTTCACCAATTTCAATAGGATTCTTTCAAGGGACAAAAAAGTGGGTTGTTCCAAATTTCATTAAATTCGGATCACAAATGCGACCTGCACTTTGCTAACTAGAATACATGGACAGACGGACATGCATAAATCGACTCAGAAAATTATTCTATGCATATTCTCTAAAGGTACCATTAGTATATCTCGTTTCTTTTCGCATGTTACTAACATATGCATGAAAATAGATTGTCTGAGGACTACACCCAGAAGGTGGCGAATATTAATACTTTTGGTAGGAAGTTTTGTTATCAAATAGGAATCCAAAAATACCTTATACGCGGGCTATGTTTAAACAAGGACCCATCTTCGAACTTGACCTGGCTATAGACAAAATAGAACTATATGCAAAATTTCGGCGATCTACTCTCAATTCGACTAGAGTGATTACCACAGACAGACGGACATGTGTAAATCTTCATAGACAGCGTTATGACACTTGTAAGGGAAAATACGTTTAACTTACAAGCTATAAAAGCTTCCAAATGTATAAAAACCATCAATAATTTCTCTCGACATGCTCTTGTACGAATCATATTGGTCACAGAATCATATACACGGCAGAAGTGCTATTGACTGACTCAATATAGATGTGACTAATGCCAAACCTATTTACGCAACACGCCTAGAACTGAGGTCATGGGCAAAAGACCCACAACATTCTTTGAAAAAAAACGAGGAAAGAACACAAAAATTGTATCCCTAAATAGGGATAACACAAAGCAAATCTTGACGTTTAGCAAAAAGGAAAATCGCAGACTGACATATATTCTTACAGACACATTTATACGTGGAAATCAGAAGGTGAAGACCGTGTGGGGAAGACACCGAAACATTGGAATACTTCACAGCCAAGCTTTTGAATCCAATTCATTATACTATTCACTAAATAACCGTCTTAAGACATTGTGAATGGAAAATACTGAAGAAATTTTTCTCTTCCCAATAAGAGGACAAATTTATCTTTTCCTTTTGATTACATTTTTATCGATAGAAAAATAAGTTTCGTAGGGAAAATAATTTTCTGTAGGAAATTTTACTCCTTAGCGGTGATGTGTTTTACTAATGTGAAATACATATTATGACATAAAAAATATCGGTCATATAACAGACAGAACTTTGCAAATCAATCGTTACACCCAATACTCCAAGGTAGAGTCATTACAACGATGTAATGAACTGCGTGGCTGTGGATTTGGCGCCGGATATATTTTTAAAAAATTTTGTTTCTCACAGATGTCAGCAATATTCCAATCTCACGGCATGATCGAACAATAACTCATATATATTTCGTTCGATGTTTTTCGAATTCCATAAGTTAGTTGTTGTGGAAATTTTAACTCTTTTGGGTACGCTCTGTTTTACGCAACCTTCGACTTTTTAAAAAATATTCATAATGAAAATTATAACGATAACTCCAAAATGTGTATATTTTAGAGGGATTGGGCACGTTTTTCAACCGAATTGGCTCCAGTTTGATTTTCAGTCTATAAATAGCCGCATTTATCCAACAATGTGGCTGTAACAAAAAATGATCATTGCATGTTCATGTTTTGACATAGCCATAGGTCCTACCGACTTTTAAGTTTTATTAAGCTCGATAAGAGAATTTTTATAATTAAAGTAGCTAAAATTTGGGATATCGGATTTGTGGGGAATAAAAAACATTTTTTCCAAAAATAATTCGATATAGGTTAATGTTTTCAAATAAGCCCACACAAATGTCACGTTTAGTTTGCGATATTTTCAAGTTCAAACCTAAGTTTTCCAACCTGATTATCTGGTATATAATGTTTTCAGAGCATGAACAACATACTTCCACTTAATGCAATAACATAGTATCCATATAAAAGCTCCGACTGATTTAAGAAATTTTGAGAAAGTTAGCCTTAGCTGGCCTTAACGATGTGTTTACTTATTATTTCTGAATTCTGCAATTGGCGGTCACACATATAATACTAAACGTAACCCGAATGATTGGCATAGTTGGACGTATCTAAAGGTTCGATAAGTCAACTTTTCTGTATGAATTTCATATATAGGAAAAATAATACCTGTAGGATATATATACCTAATTGTAGAATATAGGAGTTCTAAAAATGTAGGAACATTTTTTTAATTGGTCGGTACCATATCGACTGGACATTCATATACACAATTAGAATTAAATGCATCACATTGAAGTAGAATCTGGGCACACATAATATTGAAACAATAATTTTGGACATAACCAATAATATGTATATGAAACTACAACACTAATACACTATGAGAAAAAATTGGCAATAGAATAAGTTTTCTATTCTGTTCTTCATTATGTACGTATGTATGTAAATTTTATCAGTTTTAATTTGAGTTAAATACTGCACCTCTAATCCCAAAACAAACAATGAAAACACAAAGAACACAAAAAAATTCTAAATACACACCAAAGTGCACAAAAAAAGGATAATTATCCTTTGCATTGATCCCCGACACAAACCACTTACAAAAGACCAGCACTGCGTTTTTTTCTTTCGAATATTATTTCTTCTTTATTTCAAAATTATTTTGAAATTTCCGTATTGGTTTTGCTTTGCTTTTATTTTCCATATTTCCATTCTGTACCACTCTGTTTATCACTCTCCTCTATCTATCTTTTTCTATATAACTATTTTGTATTTGTTTTAATTCCATTTTGTTCACTTTTATTTATTTTATTTGTGTTTCCTTGTTTTTATTCTTTTGTGTTCTCGTTTTTTTTCGAACTTTCTCTCCTTTCTTCTTCGCCTTCTTCCTTTTTGTCTCTTCTATTGCCACATTTTTTCTTAACGCAGAGATGTGTGCAGATATTGAAATCACAACGTCAAATCAGTATGACGGTACGATCACCACCCACGCTAAACTCAACGGCGCCGCTGCATGGCTTTGGCCCACCCTCCCGTGATCCGATGTACGCTTCAATGGCTCCCCTGCTCACACAACCGACAGCACTGCCACCGGGTGCCGCCATAGGAGCAACTGGTTCGTTGCCATATCGACAGACATGTTCCTGGATGGATAGACACGGGAGACCTGCCTCACCGCCCATGGAATATGGCGGACGACGAAGTGATCGAAGGGATAGGTAAAATGCTTTATATTACCCTTACGTCACGGAAATGGTCTATATTTCAAAAATGTTTTCCTTGTTGCAGAATACGTTGTGTTGAGTTATTAATAGAACCCGGCCAGTCATTGGGCCTGATGATACGAGGCGGTGTCGAATATGGCCTGGGTATATTCGTGACGGGTGTCGACAAGGACAGTGTGGCAGATCGTGCCGGCCTTATGGTGGGCGATGAAATATTAGAAGTCAACGGTCAATCCTTTCAAGATGTTACCCATGATGAGGCTGTTAGCCAGCTGAAATACCACAAGCGTATGTCATTGGTCATACGTGATGTGGGTAAAGTGCCACATTCCTGTACCTCCATTGAAATGGAGCCATATGATGCGTATAGTCCCACGGGGACAAGGTAAGCTAATATAATTCCTTGTGTGCCGTTAAGAACAAATGCTTACATATTTATTTCCTTCTCTTGTTTCAGAGCCCGTCGAAAAGGTCAAATCACCGCCATGGTAGAAGAGAAGGCCCGTTCTCTACTGCCGCGACACCATTTTGCAAGTCTTTCGTATTATATCGCCGAATATACTGCGAGAGCAATGACCATAGATGCCTTTGTAGCCGTCTTATTAGAAATGTTAGATACATATGAAAAGGTAAGTGATTAAGTTGATCAATATATGAAAATTTTAGGAAGATATATTAGCTGTGTTAAAATTACAGCTTTGAAAATATAGTTTTTCAAAAAACTGCAATCGGCAAGAAACTCGTTTAAAAAATCTCATTAAAGCTCTTACATAGGACAGATATGTACGAAATGGTACTAAATTGCGTACTATAAGCGTACATCTCTCCATATAGTAAGAACCAAAACCATGAACATTTGTACTGCAATCACAAAAAGTACTAAATTGTACCATATTTAGTACAGTTGTTATTGAATAGATGGATAATAAGAATAATAGTGTAAAGTACTTGAAAAGTACTACTCGGTACTAAAACTAGTAATGAAAATACTACAATAACTATGTGCGATATTTAAGAGACTAAATCATAAACATTGACTTAGATATCACTTTTAATGTACAGGATTGAGTAATAATAAAAAAATTCGCACTATGAATATTCGAAATGTACTAATTGGTTCATTTGAGACACTAACTTTTGACAAATCTTTATCAAAACATACAAAGTTTCCCAAATACCAGTTCAAAATATAATGCTCCGTGATGCACAATATATATATATATATAATCGTGATGTTACAAAATCAACAGGAACATATAACTGAATCTTTCTATGAGGAGGAATCCTACAAGAAAGTAGTAGTATTGTTATTGTTGCAGCTATTCGAAAAAGTGCATAGCCCGATATATTTCTGATTCCAGAACCCTACATTCCAGATTATTGTCATTTGTAAATGTCCCCTAAGAACTCAAACTGAACGAAAAACCAGTAAGGAAAGTAGTAAAGTCGGACGGGGCCGACTATATGATACCCTTCACCACTATGGGTATATTAAACAGGATTATTAACATGAAATTGGATGAAATAAAATATGTGATATTTATCTAAATGTGAATCTACCTAGATCTATACATAAAGTATGTAAATCGACTTCAAACAAAGATAAATAGGTCAACCGTTGGGCTATGTCTGTACTTCTACAAAACGCAATTACGTAATTCTATGCTCAATTTTGTAAGTTGTACAAAATTTGATATCAATCTGACTAACTGAGGAGTTTGATGCCCAATTTACTTGAAATCGGGCGAAAATATATATGGAAGCTCTGTCCAAATATTAAGCGATTTCAAACAAACTTGTCACTTGTCAATTACTTAAAATCAATCTATAATAAAAGGGAGCTATATCGAAATCCGGACCGATTTTCTCGAAACTTGACAGACATCACTCTAGGCTCAATTCAGTACGTTATGCCAAATTTCCTGCACATCGAAGGATATATAGGGACTTTGGTGCACCATTTATATGAAATCGGACGAAACTATATATGGGAGCTATATGTAAATCAGGACCGATTTTCCCGAAACTTGGCAGACATCATTCTAGCCTCAATTCAGTACGTTATGCCAAATTTCGTGCAAATCGAATGATATATAGGGACTTTGGGGCACCATTTACATGAAATCGGACGAAACAATATATGGAAGCTATATCTAAATCTGGACCAATTTTCTCGAAACTTGGCAGACATCACTCTAGGCTTAATTCAGTACGATATGCCAAATTTCGTGCAAATCGAAAGATATATAGGGAGTTTGCGGCACCATTTACATGAAATCGGACGAAACTATATATGGGAGCTATATCTAAATCTGGACCGATTTTCTCGAAACTTGGCAGACATCATTCTAGGCCCATTCAGTATGATATGCCAAATTTCGTGCAAATCGAAAGATATATAGGGACTTTGGGGCACCATTTACATGAAATCAGACGAAACTGTATATGGGAGCTATATCTAAATCTGGACCGATTTTCACGAAACTTTGCAGACATTATTTTAGACCTAAATGATTAAGCTGTACCAAATTTCGTGCAAATCGAAAGATATATAGGGACCGTTTACATGAAATCGGTTAAATATATATATGGGAGCTATATCTAAATCTGAACCGATTTTTCCCAATTTCAATAGGGTTCGTCCTTGGACCGAATAAGTGACCTATGCCAAATTTCATCCAATGCGGATCATAAATGCGACCTGTACTTTGTTTACAATTTAACATGGACAGACAGACAGACAGACGGACGGACGGACATGCATAAATCGATTTAGAAAGTGATTCTATGCATATTCTCAAAAGGAACCATGTGTCTATCTCGTTTCCTTTTGCCTGTTACAAACATATGCACAAAGACATAATACCCTGTACCACAGGGTGGTGAAGGGTATAAAAAGCAAGTGAAAGAAGTGTTAAGTTCGGCCGGATTGAACTTCAGATACCCTCCACCTTATGTATACTGACAGTTACTTGAAATTAAAGTTCCAACCCTCCACCTTATGAATACTGACAGTTACTTGAAATTTAAGTTCCAACGTATTTATGTAGGGTTTATTACAAATAAGTGAACCTGCGCTACTGAATATTAATATTATGTTTCACCTAAAAGTATTGACAATTATTAACAAAGGCGAGACTTCTGATGTATGGAATAATGGGGGATATATGGAACATACCAGAAAGTGGACCTATACTGACAATTGTACCAAGCGGCTGTTGTAAACCACAAGACACACAACTTTTTTACAGGGATAAAAACCTCAAACCCCAACCGGTGGTCCCATGTGTATAAAATCAACAATAAACTGCAATTTAAAGGACAGAGTTATATGTTGGGCTATACTTATAGTTTTTAGTGGAGATGGAGGGAACACATATAACACATTTTCGAGCGTGAGTAAAGTTTGAAAGAAATATTTCGATGTGCCCAAATTGTATCAAATCGGAAATGATGGGATGAATGGGCCGATGGGCCCGATTTCGAATATTATAGTTAGTCCGATAATACACCTAAGTCTGTTTTTACACGGTCTTTTTGTACACGGTTTTGAAATAACACGGTTTGAAAATTGAATATTTTTAATTTTTTTAGACGATTTTATTCCATTTAGCACGATTTGAAATGTTGTGTACTTAAATTTGTTTGTCAAATTTAATTTTTGCGAAGTATGTTCATATCACAAAAAAGTATTTATGAAAGAAACAAAGTTTAAAACCATCGATAGTTTGCGAACACTAGCTTAAAGATTTAAGTGAATTCCCCTTTAGCGCGTACAAACAATTTTTACTGGTCAAAGCAAATGTGAATAGCACTAATTTAGGGGAATTCCCTTTATGTATAAGATCAATGTCTTTTTTACACGGCTTCTTCTGGAACCAATCTACCGTGTAAAAACAGACTTAGGTGTATTTCATTAGCTTTTATTGGATTTTATAATATTGACCCTTTGGGGGGAGGTACTAGGAGGAATGCGCCGATATGTGCCATTCTCCAACAATATTAACATATTCGGTTGCATAAAGTTTAGTTCAAAATTAATTTTCATCTAGATTTTGACCATTTGTAGAAGATATACCAGAAGAAGTGGACTGATATTCCCCCTCTTTGAACATGGTTTTAGTTTGGTATAAATATTACGATGTTCAAAGTTTGGATGAAATTTGTTACTTCATTCGACAGTTATCGTGCGCATCAGCCAGAGGGACACGCGGGCATTTTTAAATCGACTGCAAATTGTCTGAAATGACAATTGGCAAAATATGGTTAGGGTCACTAACATGCCTAAAATGTAGGAACTAAAATGTAGGAAATATCGTCCCAGCGAGCATTATATTAAGATTTGATAACGGGGATTATTCATGTATTTTTTCATCGAATTTGGAACACAGCATTAATATATATGTATATATATATATATATATATACATATATATATATATTTCACTCTATATAATAACTCCATTAAAATCGTTATATTTTTCTTCTTTTTGTCTCTTGCAGCATACACTAGTGACGGAAATCCGTGAACTTATATTTCCTGAGGATCGCACACGATATGATGAGCTAGTCTATCGTAGAGAGCGCGATCCATACAGTGGCGAACGATTAAGGGTAAGTAAACTATATAATTGATTTGTATTTTCATATTTATATATTGGAAAATGATTTTATACCATTATCCTCGAAATATTAAAAAAATCGACGATTCGTTCAAAGCGATTAGTAACTTGTCTTTACAAACTGTAGATATTAAAATTAATTTTCAAGCCATCATTACAACGAAATATTTGCATATTAAATTTATGTTTATATTCTTCACATTCAAACTTTTCTAAAACGGTCGGAAACCATATTTGGTGACTATGTCAGCAGACAATTTATTCTGCTAATAGGTATATATCCTACAACGACAATTTCGTCAGTCAGAAAATGCTTCTTAAACCTTAAAGGTACGCAAATGGTAAATTGTATATGGGATCTTTAACAAAGCGTAGACCGGCATTTATATTTTTACTGGGATGATTTGACAACCCATGTTAATCCCAAATATCAAATTACAGTCCATTGGGTTGAAAAACGTATTTTTTTGTAAGTAGATGTTCTACCCAATGTGAATCCCTTGTATGGATGCTACCCCGAAACATGGTCCAATATTGATCATTTTTGGTAGGCAGATTTTCTACCCGAAGAGAATCCAAATTATCAAAATCAGCAAACTCAGATGTAAAACATTCTTAACCTCCCCAAAATACCAAAATTTGGATGGTACCGTTATATGGGGGCTAATGTAGACTAATAGTAATATTTTCAGTAGTAAGGTTTTCTATACCGAAGGAAGGTTTTCTACTCAAAACAACAATTTTCAGTTAACATCCTCAAAATACCGAAACTTTTCTAATCACTTCCGTATCTTCTTCAGAAAACGAAACATTTCTTCCATATTTCTAGGAATTAATTTGTGTAGTACTTCAACCTTTTCCATGCCATTTAGGCCGGGAATAGTGGCATTTGCCAAGAAATGGTTTCGAGGACATGGGTTTAATGGCATAGGAAATGTTAAATATACCTGCAGGCTGAACAGTCCTGTGAGAATACTTGTCGGTCTGCTGAGTTCCTTTTAATTAAGCACTGAGTTTAAGAAATAGGTCATGCTTTCGTTTTGGTGTCCTACAATATTTATGGGACACAGTCCCTTCGTTACTCCAATCAATTTTGGAAGTCTTTTTCACGAGTTGCTCTAAAAGATCTACACCTGAGGTACCTTATTTATGGTTTTAATAAACCTTTTAACCTTTTAAATCAAATAGAATATTTACATCGCTTCAGTTGAAAAAAAATAATCCAGCCTAACAAAGTAAAATATGACAATTTTCCTAACTACCATAAAAAAATGAGACCATTTGAAGTCGACATCGCAATATTTATCGCTCCATCTTGTCTGATATTTGGGGTGTACAATGTCATGCTTCTACCGCTGCAGAGGTCCATCAGTGGCTCCTCCACAATTTGTCGATTTCATATGAATCAAATAAAGAAGGCGGTTTGATCGAATATTTTCTCACGTTAATATTTATCTTAAAAAGCAAGTACTCCTCGTACAAAGAAAGTCAAAATGTTAGAAAATTAATGTCAAAAAGTGTCAGTCTGGTTCTGTCTAGTGTCAATGTGGAACATTTTTGTACCCTCAGCCTTATGGCTAATGAAGGTGTATACACTTTGCTACGGCAAAAATGTACCTCTTAGATTTTGCACCACATGTTTCTTTGAACCAAATCCATTTCAAACGATTTGGAGTTGATTTCCGTCTGTCTGTCCGCCTGTCTGGCTGGTGCCTACGATATCTCTCGAAAGAAGTAACCGATATCATCCAATCTTTGCACATCGTAATAACTATTTCAGACAAATTTTAAGTTCGAGAATGTGAAATATCGGTCCACTCCTTCTTCAGGCGAATGGTCGATCCTATTTGAACCAAACTTTGCAACCTTTAGCACGCCTACATCACGTCGTAAAATTTTGGAAGACGGCGAAAATCGGTACACTCCCTCTGTATTTTTACCAAACCTAAATCGAATCATAAGATGGTACCCATAGGTTAACTCCTGTTACCTCCCACACAAAATAGTCAACATTTTGCTAAAAATTAATTGTGTGCGAACGGACTATCCGATGTGAACTTAACTTTGCACACCCTAATATTATAACCATATCATTACCATTATCACCATGAAACCTCTCTAGCATCGTCATTGACATCTTCTTGGCCGTCCTTGAACCGTTTATTCCGCATTTGAACTTGTGTGCTGCTCATAGTAGACACCAAAGTCGACTTTTTAAATGTCCTTGCGCATTTAAAGAATTATTTTTTACAGAAAACGTTATACATTTTTTTGATCCATTTTTTCGAATAGTAAATAATCGAAGAAAAATAGACTAAGAAAAAAATCGAAAATCGAACATTTAAAAAAACGGTTATTTCTAGGTCAGACCTCGTATATGCATATTATTCAGTATCCCACATATATTCAAATTTTGCCCTTATTAATATGCTTGCATTTCTTCTTATATTCCAGCGTAAAGGAGAAAGTGCGCGTGATTTGCCGGTAAGCTTTTTAGAAGATTTATTCTACGACACTGACACTACATACTATTGGAGTTGCCTAAAGACAATTTCTAACAAATAATTAAAAGAAAAACAAAAAGAACTCAATTATTAAGCAAATCAAAGAAATATAACCCCATAAAGCAATAAACTAACAATACTACTACACTGCAAACAAATAACCCAGCAAACAATAATGAAATGAAATGCAAGTTATAAAACAACTATTCCAAATCAAATAATAACAAAAAAAAACAATCTTTCAAATATCTATCTATATTAACCAACATTATTATATTATTATTACAAAAAAATAAAAAAATTTCAAATAAAAAAACATTATATAATGAAATGCTTATTAACTATTTATTATTAACAACCAAAAAAGAAAACAACTAACCCAAACCAAAATACAACAAAATATTAATTATTAAATAAAACGTGGCATGTTTTAAATGTGTAAAACTGAAAACACACACACGAAAAAAACTCAAATTAATGGTATTTTTTATTTTTAAAATATATTTTTATTGGTATTCTAAATGTTGTTGGGATGACATTTTAATTTAAAAATAAATTATATTTTTTTAAGTTAATTAATTTTTATTTCATTTAAATACATTAACCATTAACTTCACTTTTTGGTGTCAAAATTTAATTTTTATTATGATTTTTTTTTTATTTTATGTGTATTTGTTGTTAATGTTGTTGTTGTTGTCGTCGTTATCATTTAACAAATATTACTAATGTTGTTGCTGTTGTTGTAAATGTGTTGTCATCATTATGTAATTTATAGTAGTTGAAAATATTAATAATAATTATAATAACTAAGTAGAGAAACACCATCAAGAATATACTAAACCCAAAAACAATAAACACACTCAATTTTATGTGACAATAATTTATTGTTTTATAAAAAAAAAAAGAATAGTAATAATAAACCACAATGTAGAACACAACAATAAAATACTAACAACTATTTTTAACAATAAATACACTGTGGAACAAAAAACAAATCAGTTACAGGAAACCAAAATGGATTATGAAGGAGGAGAAAAAAGACAAAAAAATGGGGCTTACTTTGAGAAAAAATTGCCGTGGCAAAAAGACAACGCACTATGGGTCAGGAATACAATTTTTTGGCAAAAAGTTTACTTCAGGTAGATCCGAAAAAACGATATATACTTTAAATCTGGACACTTTGAGCTTAACATCAGTAAAATTTTATAACTTTGTGGGTCACGGTTTATAAATAGAATGAGGTCAAAGTACAAATTTCGAATTTTTATGTATATAATTTATAGTAGTGTTGGCGAGTTATTTGGGATACCAATTCTATTTTGTTTTTGGAAAATAGTCAGACTGAATCCCAGTTTGTTGTTTTTATAAAAACAACTATTTATTTGTGTATGTATGGCATTGTCCGCCAAGGGGTAAGGCTGGGAAGACTTCGTGGTCAACAATGCATTTGCAGACATTTTCAGCATTTGTATTTTGTTTTTGCAAAATAGTCAGGCTGAATCCCAGTTTGTTGTTTTTAAAAAACCAACTATTTATTAGTGGGGAATGTATGACATTGTCCGCCGAGGGAAGACTAAAAACTAAGGGAAATGATGAGGATCAGTGACGAGATCCGAAACTATAGTCTTCCTTGCCTTAGTGGGTAATTAGTGGCCATCGCTCTACAAAACATGTTTAAAAATAATTCGATCGCCGTTTTCGATCCACCCCATTAACTTTCTTACTATTTTCTTGAAGAATTGCAATCAGCGTAAAAATTCCAAAAATTGGATGATACAATTACAGGGATGGTCCGTATGACGAATTTTTAGGTTTTCGACTGTCAAAAAGGTGTAAACGTCATATACCTGTATAAAATGTAATAAATGTAGAAAACATCATTTATTCGAATATTATTACCATATACCGTTATTTTCAAAAATACATAGTATTTTTACAGTTTCTTACTAAAACTAATAAAAAATTCTAAACTTCTTGGAGAAAAAAAATTTTTGAAATTTTATATGGATTTCAGTAAAACATACGTAATTTCCAAATTCATTAATGGAAATAGGTATTTTGTCAAAAACCTAATGTATGTCATTTACGCCACTGTTTCTGACGGACCAAGTCTGTAAAATTATGTGTCCGATTATAGCGAGGAGGAATTACAACCTTATCCCATATTGATACATTGATAAGATAAACCAGTGAGCCGGGCAATATAGTGGGAAAGGACCGATGATACCCTACCCAACTAACACTGACCTCTAAGTTATATTCCTATCTCTGGACCAATTAGAGGCTCCACCTTTCCGAATTATGTTTTCCCATAGTAAAACAGTTTTGGTTAATTTGACCCACTAAATATTGATCGTTTATTATCATGACAGCTATTCGGATTAGTTGGTCAGATCGCCATCCCGATGGAAACATTTCTGATGTTCGGCTTAAGTTGTGGTGTCTAGAGTGGCTAGAACATCAGACAAAAATAAAATGTCGGTCCATTTCAACATCAGCGCTACAATTCCGCCATCTATTGTGGTAATTGTTAAACTAAACGATATACTATCCACCTAACCCTTAGGACTAAATATATTCGCCATAGAATATAAATTTCGTAATTTTTAACATAAAAGCCTGAGTACATTTGACCCGGTAAATATTGACCAACCTTCATCAAAACATTCATGATTTCTCTGTGTAAAATTTCGAGGTGTTCGGGTCATTATTGTGGCCTCAAAAACAGACAAAAAGTTGTTGGTCCATTTCATCCCCTAAATATTAACCGATCATTACCCAAAACAATCTTTGGACAGACCCATCCTACATGCAAAATTTCGTGACGATTGATCCATAACTGTGGCATGTGTCATGTTTACAAATTATAATGGACAGACGGACGGACACACACGTCTAGATCGACTCAGCTAGTCGAGATATGACGAAAAGGTGAGTCTAGAAAAACTCTTGGGGTCACACAAAGCTACATTACTCTGAAAACATAGTTGTATAGGATATAAAAATGCACCAAGCGTATTTAGACCAAATCAGATTTAGAAAATTTGATGATGAAATTTTCGTTCGAATTTCTCTTCCAAATTTAGTTTACATCCAAAGTAGGTTCATTCCTTCTGGTGCATATCTGATATAATGCGATCCAAATATTGAACATCGCAACATTTTTACCCAGTCAAGACCATATTCTCGTGTATGTTTAGTTTTTGTATCTCGTAGGTACAACATGAAAAATTGCAAATTTCGTATCTAAATTGATTCACAAAATAAAAATTTGTTTCAATCTTTTCAATTCAACCCACCGAGAACCAAAAAAGATACAAAAATTCGAGACTCCAAATCGCAAATTTCCCTGTTCCGTTATATGGTAAATATGCCTAATATGACCTATAGTATAATTTTCTACAAGTCAGAATATGCACCTATATTGATCATTTTCTGCCGATATACCGCCATTTCTCTTGAAAAATACCACTAAAACTCTCAATAAAAGCGAAAATTTGGCTGGACATTTATATTGATTTTCTGAAGTATTTTTCTGCATCGATTCATACATGTTCCTGTTATTTTTAAATTGATTTCTGAAAAAGTTTTAATTTAAACAAGTAAAAACGATGTTAAGTTCGTCTCGGCCGATCTTTTTATAACCTCAACTATGATGATGGCATTTAAAATATCTAAAATTAATGGGGGGCATTGGAGAAAACCCGTATTATGATAGGACCCTGAACATACCGAAAAAGACGTTTTAAATTATCAAAATACCTAATAATGGGGCTCTACAAAAAAAGAGATCGGCATTGATAATTTCTAGCAGTGAATTTTAACAGCCAATGAGAATACAAAATCCCAAAAAAATGCCGAAGATTGGGAATATCCTTATATGAAGGCTACAACAGAACTTGGACCGATATATCACATTTTCAGGACTAAACCTCCTAGGATGTTTGTGCAAAATTTGTATACAATCCACCTTATTGTGGAATGTATACAAATATATCAATATCTTGACTCCTTTTCTTTCATGATAATTTATAATTTTCCTGTAAGTTTCGAGTTTTTGTTCTACAGTATTATATATTCGTATACTTTCATAATAAATATTACTATATAAACACTTAATATTACAATAAACATATGATACCGTCATTATATGAAATCTTGATAATTGTGTTCGAAACAAAAAAAAGTTTTTAACCATTCCAATAGAATTTAAGTTTTTTTGAACAACTGTGTCGACATTTGTATGTCCACAACATTCGGAAACAAAAGAAGTCTCAAATTCGAGATGAGATTTTCAATCGGTCCTTTGTTATTGGAAATGTGTATTGAACATTTTCTGTGAGGCTATTACTGCCACTAAGGTTAGAAAACGTAACTAGGACATAAAATATCTTTAAAATTTTGGAGCGATTTTTTTCTAATCTACCTAAATTCGGGTAGAAACGGTTTTAAAATTTGTCCAGCGTAACAACAAGACATATAAAAATTAAAAAAAAAAATTAATAAGAACCAAGAATTATGCTATGAAAAAGAATAATGCGTATTTTTATTGGCTAATGAGGTATATACACTTTGATACGGTGAAAATGTGCCTCATCGAAATATTGGTTTTAGACCCCATGTTTCATTGGACCAAATCCGTTTCAGAAAATTTGGAGTCGATTTACACATGTCCGCCCGTCTGTCTGTCTGTCTGGCTGGCTGGCTGGTGCGCACGATAACTCTCGAAGGGAATAACCGATTTAATCCAAACTTGGCACATCTTAATAAGTTCGAAGATGGGGATATTTTAAATATTTATAAATCCAATATCAGGCTAATGGAATGTCCGATTGTAACCAAACTCTGCACACCTATTACCTTTACCAAGCCTAGATGAAATAATAAAATAAAAACTTACACCAAAATCCCTGCAAATGTTTATGGAACAATCCAAGCATTTCGGAAATACTTCATTTACAGATTCTTCCGAGAGCATAG